ACATAGGTCCATTTTCCCGCTTTACTCTATAGCCCAAGCCCCAGTACATGCTAAGTAAGAAATAGTAATGAATGCATTCATTAAAGTTCTTGCTGTTGATCAGAATCCTGAAGGACTTCAAATTCACATTCTGCATGCAATAATCCCTTTCCTGTACCATAAAACAAAAGTGTAAAACATTGGCTGGCACTCTAGTAACCTTAGAATAATGCAAGATTATTTTAAATAAATTCCTACTGTCTTCTTACCACTCATTTAGCTGACAAAGGATTTCCTGCTTTTGATATTCTGATAAATTGAGAAAATCTATTAATTTATTAATTCAATAAGTTTTTTAATACATTCTTTATTGTAGATTATGCTAAGCCCTGAGAAAATAAATATAAAATCTAGCTTCTACCCTTAAAATAATATGGTTTAGTAGTTGCTGTAGAGAAGTAGACCAGCAATTATGGTAAGATGGTGGGATAAGTGGCTAGGACAAATGCTTTGAGTGGCACAGGGGCTGCAGAGGGAGACGCCACCCTGGGGGTGGGGAGCAGTGCTCTCTCTCTGCCATTGTTTAGAATTGCCAGAGGAGGGTGATACTAGAAAGCAGATGAACCTTGAGTTGGTTTTAATTTTTAATCATTGTTTTTTTAATTCTCTGCAAACAACGTACCCCTTAATGCCCCCAACACTCCTAGGCCACACTCCTCGTGACAGAGGCCAGGGTGAGGCATCTCAGGGGTCCGGGGAGAGGAACATGGACTTGAGCCCCAGCTCTGGGCCAACCTCTCAGAGGGCTAACAGGGATGCTGGGGCAGCTGAGCCCCAGTTGAGACCCTCCAGTTCTGGCCATGATTTGAACATTAATCTTAATGCGATGTGGTTTGAGGCCAGGCTGATAAGACCCAGGGACAGTCAGTTAGAAGGTAATGTGACAGAGATGCCACGTGGTTCAGAGGGGCACAGAAGAGAGAGGGTGCTGCCCTACATTGGTGGAGGATCTATAGAGATGCCAGGGAGGAGTGAGGTGGAGGTGACCAGTGGGCAGGATGGGAGGCTGGGTCACAGCATGGAGCAGCTGAGGGCCAGGGACACCTGTCGGCACAGAGGGAGCTTGGAGCAGACTGAAAGGGAATGGGAGATGGAGAAGTGGACAAAGGGCCTTTGTACTGTCCTGAGGAACAGGATGAAAATGAGGACTGTACCTTATGCTTCTCTGCCCTAGTGTCTCCCTCTTCAGATTTCAAGCAGGATTCCTAACATATCAAGAAGCATTTAGCAATCTTCCTAATAAATCCACACCACTGAAGAGAATTAAGCAGGTGAGTCTGTCAGGTTACAAACCTTCCTCTGGCTACACCCAGAGACTGGCTGACAAGGAGAGGGGGTGGGGACAGGGGATTAGGGAACAGGGAGGCCATAGAAACAAAAGGCCATGGGAACAGGGGGTCCTCGGGGACAGGGAAGTCATGGGGACAGGACGCCATGGTGACCAGGGGCCATGGGGACAGGAGGCTATAGTGACCAGGAGCCACAGGGACAGGAAGTCATGGGGAAAGGAGGCCATGGGGACAGGGGCATCAGGCACAGGAGGCCGTGGTGACCAGGGGCCATGGGGACAGTAGGTCATAGGAAAGGAGGTCATGCGGACAGGAGGCCATGAGAACAGGGGGGTCACGGGGACATGGCTCATGCCTGGTTGGTGCAGACCAGAGGGTGCTGATTGAATTGTATTTACTGGAGATAAGCTGTGGGATCCGTATCTGTTGAGATGGTTGGGCATGAGAGTGAGGGAGGACTCTAGGCTGCCCCCAGTTTCTAGCAGGAATGATTTGGACACAGTTCAGAGGGACAGCAACCAGAAAGAGGATGAGGATTCTGCAGGAAGGGGATAGAATGACCTGGAGCATGTTGAGTTTGGTGTCAGAGGAGATTGTGCTGCAATTGTCTGCACAAAGGCTCAGCAAATGTTAGAAGTTGGTGCACAGGCAAAAAGCAATGGGGCAGTCCCACAGCAAGATGTACTATGTGACAGAGAAAAAGTGCTAGGACAGGACTCTTGGAAGCACAACCCTGAGGAGCAGCTGTGAGGCCACCAATCTACAGGGGGAGAACAGAAAGGCCTGGGGTGGGAGAGGCGGCAGGAGAGCCTGGAGCTCAGAAGCCAGATAATTTCAAGGAGCAAATGCCCACTGCAGCACAGAACGATAGAAATAAAATGCAAGTCACCAATGTTCTAGTAGCCACCCTAAAAAGAAAACCAAAACATGAAATCCATTTTAATAATATATTTTGTTCAACCCAATATAGCCAAAATGCTGTGATTTCAAAATGTAATGAAGATCTTAAAGATCAAGATATTTTACATTCTTTTTCTGGAACCAAATCTTGGAAACCCGGTATCACATTTTACACTTACAGCACATCTCAATTCAGACACCAAATTTTCATCAGAAATACTTGATCTGTATTTAGAGTTTATACAATTTACAGTTGAAAAACTACATTCACAGATGCAAGTGGTTCCAATTGTACTTAAAAGTTTTTCAACAACTGAATAAAGTATCTGTTTTTAAGTGTAAAATAATTAAAAATTCTGTTCGTTGTACAAATGTACAAATTCCTACATTTGTAGTGTTCTGTAGCCCTCTGCACAGCTACTGAACAGGGCAGTTCCACAGCCTCAAATGAGGCCTCTGGGCTTGACCATGGTGGGATGCTGGGGTCTAGAGCACTGATGGGGGCACAGCCTGACAGTGGGGGGGGGGGTTACAGGTTGAGGGGAAGTGGAGAAAATGTCAACGATGTAAATCTCCTGGATACTGACTTTGTAACAAAAGAGATAATAAGGTAGCCACAGGGGACCCCGAATCACAGGAGGTTTATTTTTTTCTAAGACAGGAGAGTGAGACAGAGATTGAAATACGGGTGAATGACTGATGCAGCCTTTGGGGCCTTTATTTGTCCGAAAGCCCTGCTGAGACCAGCACGTGATCATGACAGTGATAACAACAAAGTTCTGAGTGCTTTCTGTGCGTTGCCTATCTTTATGTGTTGCCTCATTTAATCAACACGTAGCCATGGAAGGGCAGGTTTTGTTTTAGAAGAAAAGTACAGACTGGAGAGATCACTATGCAGCCACGATGGGACGGACACATCACCCAGTCAGAGCGCAAGCCCTGAGGAGGGCTTGGATGCTGGCGCTGGGGTCCTGGGAGTGACAGGAAAGCCACCCCAGTGATGTTTGCACTGCAGCTTCGCTTTCGATTTACCATGTGCATAGCTGATATGACGCAGCTTCTGACACAGGAGCGACGTGGGAGCACAGGAGGAAGGGGGGAGTCACACCCTCGGGGGTGGATTCCAGAGCCTCGAAGGGTGTCGCCTGAGAGGAGCATTTGAAGACCATCACTTCACAGTAGGGGTGAGGAATCACCTCTACAATCCTCTTATGTGTCCACCATGACCAAGTCCCGTGCAAAATCCCATGACAGACCTTCTGGTGGATGACTAGAAACCATAAGGAAAACCTGCTTCCAAACCAGCCCCGCAGGAAAACAGCTGCTCACACATGCAGAAAACATGTCTAACCCACTTCAAAGACTGTGCATGTCTAACCACCAAAAGGAAAGAATTCGGAAAGGAAAGCCATCAATAAGTTTTTGGGGGAAGACAGGTTCAGCGTTTTTGATTGCTCTGTTGAAAGGCAGAGCTTTCTGATCCCTTTTTTCTTTTGCTGATCTGGAGCCAATAAAGCTATTGACATAATTTTTTTTTAAGCTGAGTCCTAGAAATGTGTTAGAAAAAACAGTGTGTCCATCTGGAATAGCAATTTTGGTACACACAAGACAGTGACTTCACCTGACTTGGAGAATTCCACTGCCAGCCAGTTCCCAAAGATTCTGCAAGAGAAGAGGTGCTGGAGGAGGAGCTGGGCCGTAGCGCCAGTTACCCAAGGAGGATCCCACGTGAAAAGATTGATCCAAGGCTCACTGCTTCATAGGATCAGATTGGTTCATTCTCTTTTTCTTTTTCTTTTTTTTTTTTTTTTTTTTTGAGACAGAGTCTCACTGTGTCGCCCAGCCTGGAGTGCAGTGGGGCGATCTCGGCTCAATGCAACCTCTGCCTCCTGGGTTCAAACGATTCTCCTGCCTCAGCCTCCCAAGAAGCTGGGATTACAGGCACCCACCACACCTGGCTAATTTTTGTATTTTTTTTTTTTGTAGAGATGGGATTTCACCATGTTGATCAGGCTGGTCTCGGACTCCTGACCTCAAGAGATCCACCCACCTCGGCCTCCCAAAGTGCTGGGTGTGAGCCACCACGCCTGGCCTCGGACTGGTTCGTTCTCATGGAGAGGATTGGCTCAGGGGATCAGTGATGTCTGGTCATATGAAGACAGTAATAAGACTCCACAATGACAGCTAATATTTATATTAGGTCAGTGCAAAAGTAATTCGGTTTTTGCCATTGAAAGTGATGGCAAAAACTTGATTACTTTTGCACAACCTAATACTGTGCACTTGCCTGGTACCAAGCGAAGTTCTGAATGCTTTATATATTTTCCTATTTAAATTCCTTTAAACTTCAGAGCTACCCTTGCAGATAAGGAAACTGAGTCCCAGAAAGGTGAAGTAACTTGCCAAATGTCACATAGCTAGTAAGGTGCAGAGCCAGAATTTGAACCTAGGCTCTGAGTCGGCCAAAGTACCTGCTAACCCCATGTTTTATGTCAACTCAGATGTCCTCTGAGATTGTTCTTGTGTTTAAATCCCTGTGGGCCCAGTGAAAAAGGAACTGACACAATTATGGAAAAGTTGCTCAGATTTTCCAAGCTAAAATTTCACCCAGATTATCCTAATGTATATATACCTGCCATTTTAGGGGTCAGGACTTTACTAAAATAGGACTGGATATTTCCCTAACTTACATTTAAATAAAGTTTTTTGCTACCATTTCCAAAGACAGTAGAGTGTGGTTTATTGATCATGAGTCAGAGCTATCCCAGAGCGTGAGGAAATAATGTGGTTTTTTTATTAGCTGGGTTCCTGATGAAGGTTCTAGCTGCTTCCAAGAGGAGCCAGGGGAAGAAGTGCCTGTTGGCAACATCATAAAGTTTGTGAGTCCAGCAGAAGGCTGAGAGCGGTGGCAAAGGGCCCGTGGGGACTTCAGGTGTTATCCACACCTGTGGTCAGGCACCTGTCGTCCTTGAAGAAATAAGTGACCTAACATGTCGTTTACACCGGAGCAGGGGCCGTCGCAAAGAATGATGAAAGAAGCTGCACTTGAGCTTCGGAAAACTGAAGAGCCCACTGCAAAATCCCTCTCTTTGGATCAGTCAGCTGTCTGAACTCCAGATGGCAAATCCCATTAAATAAACACACCAGAAAGCCTGGAACAGTCTAGAGCTACATCACGTGTCAGAGTAAGTGACACCAACCTCCTGCTTGATGTCCCGAAGCTGCAGAACTGAGCCAGCCTGACACCCAGGAGTCCAAAAGGAAAGAACCAGCTCCTGCTCCCGGATAACAGTCGCCTGGACCTGAGGACTTCCCCAGTAGTGAGAAACCTGACAGGGACCCCCGGCTGGGCTGCTGGGGTTTGAGATTGATAGCAAATCCCAGATGTACCTGCTTCTTAGAGCTCTGTGCACTTCTCAGCTTCTTCGTAACCACAGCCAGTCCCGAGTCATGTCCTTGTTCCTAGAGCTTTAGCCGCAAGTCCCAGCTATAGGAGGACGGAAATCTTGAAACTTGCTGAGATGCCTCCTTGAGTTTCGTGGGGGGCAACCCAGCTTGCAGTGGCAGGACTATAAAAATGAGGTAGAGAAAGGAAGTGGTATTTATCAAGTACACACTATGAGCCAAGTTTTTTTTCATGCATGATCCCATTTAATCGTTAAAACCTTATAAGGCAGTGTTATTACCCCTGTGTACAGATTAGGAACAAAAACACAGAACAAAGCAGCACAGCTTCAAGCTGTAAAGTGGTAACCTGAACCCAGCCTGCTTGACTCCCAAGCCTGATTCCAAAAACTGCTGGTATCATTGATAGCAAATCCTAGAACCTGAGAGCTGGGAGAGGTGTCGGAGATGGTGTGACCCAACCCTTCAGACTCAGGGGGAAGAAGCAGGGTCCCAAGAGCTAAAGCCACGTGTCCAAAGCCACCGTGACATTTGTTCGCCGTGTTAGCATGCTGCTGTGAAAGTTGGTAAATTAAAACATCGCCCGTACATCGGTCACAGTTTCCGTGGGTCAGAAGTCCAGCCGCAGGGTGGCTCAGTCAGTTCTTTGCTTAGGGTCCCACAAGGTCAAAATCAAGGTGTCGGCAGGGCTGTGTCCCTTTCTGGGGGCTCCAGGAAGGATTCCACTTCCAAGCTCACTTATGTAGTTGGGAGAATTCACATCCTGATAGCTACAGGGTGTAAGTCCCAATTTCTCCACTGGTTCCAGGCCTTTTCAGCTCCTTGGGGCCACCTGCATTCCTGGACTCAGTGCCCCTCCCTCTGCAAGCCCCAGCAGCCCATGGAGCCTTCTCACCTTTCCATCCCTCCCCCTCTCCTTCAGCCCCACCTCTCGGACGCCAGTGAAGACAGGTCTTTGCTTTTGAGGGCACATGTGATTTAGCTGGGCCTGCCCAGAGAGTTCCAGATGATCTCTCTATTGTGAGGTCCATACCTTTCATCACCAGATAGTTCCAGATGATCTCTCTATCGTGAGGTCCATACCTTTCATCACCAGATAGTTCCAGATGATCTCTCTATCGTGAGGTCCATACCTTTCATCACCAGATAGTTCCAGATGATCTCTCTATCGTGAGGTCCATACCTTTCATCACCAGAGAGTTCCAGATGATCTCTCTATCGTGAGGTCCATACCTTTCATCACCAGATAGTTCCAGATGATCTCTCTATCGTGAGGTCCATACCTTTCATCACCAGAGAGTTCCAGATGATCTCTCTATCGTGAGGTCCATACCTTTCATCACCAGAGAGTTCCAGATGATCTCTCTATCGTGAGGTCCATACCTTTCATCACCAGATAGTTCCAGATGATCTCTCTATCGTGAGGTCCATACCTTTCATCACCAGATAGTTCCAGATGATCTCTCTATCGTGAGGTCCATACCTTTCATCACCAGAGAGTTCCAGATGATCTCTCTATCGTGAGGTCCATACCTTTCATCACCAGAGAGTTCCAGATGATCTCTCTATCGTGAGGTCCATACCTTTCATCACCAGAGAGTTCCAGATGATCTCTCTATCGTGAGGTCCATACCTTTCATCACCAGAGAGTTCCAGATGATCTCTCTATCGTGAGGTCCATACCTTTCATCACCAGATAGTTCCAGATGATCTCTCTATCGTGAGGTCCATACCTTTCATCACCAGAGAGTTCCAGATGATCTCTCTATCGTGAGGTCCATACCTTTCATCACATCTGTAAAGCCCTCTTCCCCCGCGACGGAACATAGTCACAGTTTCCAGGGGTGAGGGCCCGAACATCTTTGGGGGACCATTCTGCTGACCACATGGTAGCTTTAACCAAGGCTAGAGGAGAGGGTTATAAAAGCAGAATGAAAGTGGTAAGCCACACAAATCAGGCATGGCCTGTGTCAGGAATCTCACAGCTTCCAGCTAGAGGCTGTATCAGCCACGGGGACGTTTTTTTCCTATTCCCCGCCACTCTTGCAGAGCAAGGGAGAACCACGGCCCACCTGGCTTTTCTGGGCGCTCCAGGCCTGTTTGGGGAGCATGCCTGAGCCCCTTTGTGAGGACGTCTGCTGATCCTCAGAACATCAACAGACGGATGTGCAAAAGTAAATACCAAAAGCTTATTGCAAAATATTCATTCATATGTTAATTTATTCAGTTATTCAGTAAACATTTATGGAGAGCCTACTGTAAGCAGGCAATGTGAAAAAGGTCTGTGGATTTGCAACAACTTTGAATTATTCATAAGGCAGCTTCCTTGCCTGGTATGAATAACTGAATTGACCACATTTGGGCCTTTGTAAAAATCAGCATTCACACGGTCCATTTACACTGCAGATCCCAGCATTCACACGGTCCGTTTACACTGCAGATCCCTCCGGGGCAGGGCTGGGGCTGGTGGCAAAGTGGCCAGCCCTGCTTCTCAGGTGGATGGAGGTCGGTACCAGAGATGACCCACCTCTACAAACAAGGCTCAGGGGACCTGCAGTTGTTGTTATCATGCATTCAGGGCCCCGTGTCCTGTCGCCGTCAAAGCAGGGGAGTCTCACGGAAACAATTGCCAAGCATGACACGTGCCAGGCTCCCTCGGCAAGGCCAGCAAGGATGTTCTTGGGGCAAATGTAGTGGACCCTCAGTTCCTACCCCACCAGAGCTCTTGGCTTCCATAGTTCAGAGCCAGGCAGCACCTTCAGAGCATCAGCTCCTCTCCAGACCGACTGACATGCAAAAATCTGAAATGATCCCAACAACAACTGATGGAGTGTTCGCTTTTCAAAAAGACCCGGCATTCACTAGCAAGCATCTTCGAATAGCAGGCTTTCTTTCAATGTGGGTCCATCATTTAGTGACCAATTCAGACATTTTTTTTAAGACCGAGTCTCGCTCTGTCTTCAGGCTGACTCTCAGGCTGGAGTGCAGTGCGTCATCTTGACTCACTGCAACCTCCACCTCCTGGGTTCAAGCAATTCTCCTGCCTCAGCCTCCCAAGTAGCTGGAACTACAAGTGCACACCACCATGCCCAGCTAATTTTTTTGTATTTTTAATAGAGACGGGGTTTCACCATCTTGTCCAGGCTGGTCTCAAACTCCTGACCTCAAACAATCCACCCGCCTCGGCCTCCCAAAGTTCTGGGATTTGATTCAGACTTTTAAAACTGAAAGAGGCCTTGCAGTCCAAACTTTTCACTTTAAAACAAAAAAAACAGGCCTCAAAGAGGCAGCGGGTCTTGCCCAGGATCACAGCCAGCTGGTGCCAGCAGGACTAGAACTCAGAACCTCTGAGCACTGCCCTCTCCCATCTCTCCACCCTGCCTCCTACAGCAATGCTTACAGAACGCAGTTTATAAAAGGATAAGCACATGCACCGGGTGTAGCACATCCCGAGCTACGGCCAATACACCCATCACTTCACACAGCACGAGGACGCTGGCTGAGAGCTGAAGAGCGGGGTTCTCATCCAATTCTACACTGCAAATTGTGTGACCTCAGGCAAGTTGTTCAGCCTCTCTGGATCTCATTTCCCTCATATGTGAAATGAGCCTTGACCAACTGGCATTTAAAGCCCTTCCCATCTCCAGTATCCATGACTCAATGCAGGAGGCCATGCGGGGTTAGCCGCATGCCAGGAGCACAGCAGAAATGTGGAAGGGCTTGGCCTGAGAGATGATGCTGCTTTGATGTGTGTGGTGCAAGGCGTGAGGCTGGAGTGGGGTCTGCAGAGTTGGAGTACAGGAGCACTGGCAGGTGAGGAAACCCCCTTCCCAATCTCCAGAGGCTCGCTGTGAGAGGCAGAGAGCTGGCAGGGTAGGCGGATCAGATCGAATCGAATCTTGCAGGAAGCAAGGCCCACCCATGCCTCTCAGCCCTCCCACTCCGCAGAAATCACTGTCCCAGTGGCTTCTGCAAAGGGGACACTGCAAGACCTCTCCAGTCACCACTATCCCCTGTTACCCTGTGAGCAATGCCTTCCATCCTAGCCAAGGGGGAACGAGGTGACTGTGTTCTGGGCCATTGCACTTATTTTTTTTTTTTTACCTGAGGCAAAAGGCGAGGAGAGCAGAGAGCTGCCTGGAGTCCAGCGGGCCTCAGCTCTGCTTTCCTGGAAGCACCGTCCTCCCTCCTCACCCCTCCCCATGACGGAGAGAGCACTGGATGTGCCAGGAGGGCTCTGCACTTGACCTTCACCTCCACCTCAGGAGAAAGAGAAGACAGATATGATTCACATTTTATAAATGAGGAAACAGAGGCTCTGCGAAGTGACCTTGCAGTCCTGCACGCCATCACAGGACAGTTAGGAAGGCAGCAGAGGCTGCCCTGTGAGAAGACAGGGTGAGGCCATCACAGGACAGTTAGGAAGGCGGCAGAGGCTGCCCTGTGAGAAGACAGTGTGAGGCCATCACAGGACAGTTAGGAAGGCGGCAGAGGCTGCCCTGTGAGAAGACAGTGTGAGGCCATCACAGGACAGTTAGGAAGGCGGCAGAGGCTGCCCTGTGAGAAGACAGTGTGAGGCCATCACAGGACAGTTACGAAGGCGGCAGAGGTTGCCCTGTGAGAAGACAGTGTGAGGTGTAGAGGTGGCTTCCACAAATGGCAGAGGACCCCAGCAAGGATGGTAGGAAGACACTCTGTGCCCAGCACTGTGCACAGTGCACAGTGAGAAAACCAGAGACGCCGACAACTCAGTGAGGAAAGCGTGTCCAAGACTCGCAAGGCTGACAGAGGAAGGAACAAAGCCCTAGCTGGCTGAAGCTGCACCAAGGGCCCGTCAGTTCAGAGAAGCTCAGGAAGGGAGACAGCCGGTAAGGGCTCCGTGGCCCCACTTCCCACCTCACTCACCATCATAACACCGTTTGCTTGGCAAAAATAGGTGTGTTAGATCTCAAGATAATAATAAATGTTGTCCAAAGACAGGAAAAAGGAGCCAAACCCCAGATGTTTTCATTCTGTGGGGCAATATTATGGTTTCCACTTTCACATTTGCCCTCTGTGTAGAAAAACAGAGCAGGGAAGGGGGTGCAGACAGGACTTCCCGCTCTCATTTCTTTCCAGCTACTATTGTGGCTTTTATCCTCCGTGGTAGACTTGAAATTCCACCGGCACAGGTGGTTACTCTGATCTCTCCCAGCAAGAGTGAAGCACATAAAAAGGAAACCACCTCTGAAAAGCAGCAAAACTCTCGAGTTAAGAACCAAAATATTTAGAAAGGCAACCTCTCAACAAATGTTTTAAGCATATTCAACACATGGAAATTCCCATGCCAAGAACAAAGGTGCTCAGCCCAGTGAGAACATAGAGATTAGCAGGGAACGGGAAGGCGGCCGGTGCTCAGGAGGGAAACAGCTCCGAGAAGCTCCTGCGCCCACCTCGTGGAGTCACCGGGGGCTCGGGGCATGCCTGGGCCTTCGTCGTGTCCTAACGACACCCAGAATCGAGGTTTCCCTGTGCACTGTGACGGCGTAGCTCTGAGCATAAGCACAGGCCTGCTGCACAGGTCACATCTGGAGGAACCCAGGGAAGGAGCCCCCTCCCAGGGGAACTGGGTAAGGGTGGGAGGCGCCAGTTTGCAGGTTATCTGGCCCTGGCCCATTACTTTACCAAGAAGGGAGTGATTAGCCTGAGATCACCGTGGGGCTTGGTGACAGGGTAGGGACCAGGACTCAAGAGCTTTGCACTCCTGGTCCAGAGATGCATCTGCAACTGTCAGCAGAAAAGCTGATGCTCCGCCACTCCCACTGCAGACCTGGGAGGTTTTCCTCTGTCTCCCCACCATTTCCTCCGCGGGTGCCCCCTGGCTTCTCTTCTCTCCTCTCTCCACCCGCTCTGCTTCACGTCCGTGGCCTGGTGACAGCTATTTCTGTGGCCTGTGCTAGGCAGGGTGGGCGTGATGTGGGCAGGAGGAGTTATGTAGGGAGCTTTAAAGGAAGAGAGGGGCTGTGAGGCTCCTGGGTCTGGTTGATTCCACGTGTTTGATTAACTGCCGGTCATGCAGTTCCCCACTTAGAGCTGCCCCCAGTGGGCCGTTCCTTCCTGCACAAGGTCATCACTCCCAGAAATGCCATGTCCCTCCCGGGACATCCAGGCTCTGAAGGGGGCCGCCTATGTGCTCCCTTCCTCGGGGACTCCAGGTGAGCGGTTTGCCCCATGGAGACACAGCCTGGGCCTGGCAGAGGCATCCTGCAGGTGGACCAGCTGGGGTGAGGGCTGCGGAGGCTGCACCTCCCACTTGGATTGTCTCACTCAGTAACTCATGAAGGCAGGATTTTTATTGCTTTTTTTTTTTAGTACTCACTGGATTCTAACAAAAACTAGGGAGGAATGACAGTTTTATCAGCATGCAGCTGGAATGTCTGATTGTCAGTTTTAAAAGTCAACACCTATTTACGAGGTGAGGTTTAACCTCTATGGAATTTGTACAGTGTATGGATTTGTAATCCTTGATCCTCAGAAAATACGAATGTCTGTGTGACTTTAGACTATGTGGGCAGATGCCGTCTTTTTGATCATCTGGACGTCCATTTAGACAAACTTGAGTGAGTGACTGAGTGAATAAAGTATTTCCAGTTCTGTTTATTTTAATCCACTCTAATCCTAGCTTTTTAGAGGACATCACATAAAATTATCTCAAATCATGTCAAAATGAAATTAACTTCAAATCTAATTTTAAAAATAAATGTGATAGAACTTTTTATTGGTAGCAATCCGTAAAATCGACTATGTTAATGGAGTATGTATGTTCATGTCTAACTGCGTATCCTCATCTTTGCGGCTACTTGGTTGAAATTGGGGACCACATCTTTATATCTACAAACTACTCAGAGGTATGGAGAATAAGAATGAGCCGCCCCCTAATGAGTGAACTTCCCTGAGCATCTTCTGGGTGAGACGGGGCTTTCCAAACGACACCCAGGGACACTTCCATTCCGAAAAGCCCTTCCTGCTGCCCCCTGCGGAGACAGGACTCTTCCCTCAGCAGCCTGGCTCTGGACACAGAGTTCCAGGGGATGTCAATATGTTTTACTTTAAAAACTTTTTTAAAATAAGAAAAGTTCTACAGGCAAATAAGTTCGGAGAATGCTTGATTCAACAAAGGATATCAGCTTTGTTTACATAAATTGACATACTACCTGGTCAACGCCCATCCCCTCACGATGTCACTTTCAAGAACCTCTGGGTAAACTGAGTTATAGCTCATCTGGCTACAGCTTGGCTGACAGCAGAGCCCCAGATTATCCAAAGCAGTCTTTCCTATGCCAAGGGAGAGGTCAGCTTTGGAATGCAACCTGAGACACGCAGATGTCTGAAACCTCCGGGGCATGATCATTCTCTCTTTCTTTTCCTCCTCTTCCTTCTCTCTCCCTGTCTTTTCACCCCAATCATGAATCCCAACAGCTTGCTCCCTTGGCCTCTCTCTTAGCAACTGAGCATCTAAGTAAACAGTGTGGTTGCAGCAACTGCAGATAAACCAAAACCTAGGTGCTCCTTGCACAGAAGCATAGAACAATGAAGCATAGATTTAATCTTGGTTGTAGAGGTTAAGAAATTAAAAGAAAGCTAATTTGCTCACATCAACTTTTAGTCAGGGATTATTGCTCTATGAAGGGGGTGAAAGTGTGTGTGTGTGTGTGTGCGCGCCTGTGTGTGTGTGTGTTACATATGCAAACTGCATTAAGATGATTTCAAGCATTCTAATAAAAACTGACAAGACCAATTGGCTAGTTTGGTGTCTCCCAACTTCCCACTGCCTGGCTGTCTTAGTCCAACTCCCACAACCCAAACACCTCCCCCAGGTCCACCTCCAACATCAAGGATCAGATCTCAGTATGAGGTTTTAGGGGTCAAACATTCAAACTACAGCACTGGCATCCCATCTAGCACCTATGTCCATCTGAGGCTGAACGATCCAGCTGTCATGTGGGTTAACTCCCCAAGCCCCTTGTGTGACTCTCTTCCTGGTCTACAGGTGCTAGACTCTGGAGCAGTGCCCATGGTGCAGAAGTGCAACCCCCAGCCCCAGGTGTTTGCCCCCCACCCAGCTGGCATCTGAGCAGGAGAGGAATCTGGGGTAGGAGGCCTGGTAACTCGGTTTGGAGGTCAGTCTGTCCCCAGGGCTTCTCTCTGGCACACAAGTCTGACATATCAGACCTTCCTCTGGACACGCTGGACAGTTTTTCCATTTGCACTGTTGGTTTTGTTCCCCTTTTTGTGTGCACAATGATAGGCTATCATTTCAGAGCCTGCCAGTGCAGGACAGGGCGGGTTTTCTTGAAGTGTCTTATCTGTTTCTATTGTGAGCCTCCCCGGCTCCCACCCTCTGCCCGTTGCTTAGTGCCAAGCATCCCAGGAAGACCAACCCAGGGCTTCACAGAATGGGCCCGCACCTTGATGCCAGAGCTCTGCGATGACTTCATGCTTTGGAAGACAGCCACCTTATCGTAAACCCCAAAATGACAGACGACACCTCAGGAGCTGGCCTCGCCGAGGCCTGTGCAGCTTCCCGCAAGGTGCTCAACTCACGGGCTTGCCTGCTACTCCGAGGAAGGGGCACTGAGCATGTGCTGCTGCAAGAATTGCCTGGCATCACCCCCCGTCATTCATTCGTTCACTCACGTATTCCTCCACTCAACACAAAACATCCTCTAGATGTTTCTGTATAGCAGATCGTAGAGGGACAGACGGGGGTAGGTGAGGAGGAAGGGTGATGCTGGAGGAGTACTAAAAACTTTAGAATAGGAAAAAAGTGCTCTCCCCACCCCCCGAAAGCATTAGGACAAATACTGAATGCATTTGGGGCCTAAAACCTAGATGACAGGTTGACAGGTGCAGCAAACCACCATGGCACATGTACACCCATGTCACAAACCTGCACGTTCTGCACATGTATCCCAGAACTTAAAACAAAAAAGTTTTAAATAGTAAAAAACAAATGCAGTCCACTCCCACGAACAAGGAAGTGTTTTAAGAGCAGTACAACATAAAGATATATCAATAAGAACACTATTACTACAACAACAAAAAGATAGAAGGCAGAAAGTCTAAACTTCCCACAGTAAGGGATTGGCTGAATGAGACACAGTAACCACATGTGCACCATACAGCCGAGAAAATGAACGAGTATAGTTCAGTGTGCAACGACAGGCAAAGACCCAAAGGAGCATCAGGAAGCAAAAAGACAGATGGACTCTGAAATCAGCCCATTCTTCTTTAACAAAAACAAATATAGATTCAAGTCTACGCTTTCAAATGCAGTGAAAATTTCTGGAAGGATAAAAAAGAAATAGTTCACAATCTTTAAAGAATTGAAAGGGAAAAAAAAAACTATTGACCTGGAAATCTATACCCAGAAAAAAAAAATCTCTCAACAATGAAGGCAAAATAAAACCTTTTTCGGACATATAAAAGCTGAAGGAATTCACCTCCAGCAGAGCTGCACGACAAAAAGTGTTTAAGGAAATTCTTTAGGCAGAAGGAAAATTATACCAGGTGGAAATCTAGAGCTACACAAAGAAATGAAGAGCACCCAGAATTGAAAAATAATCTCGATACCATTTTGTAAAAATTTTTCCTACAGAAACTCACACTTTGCTCTCCTTTTCTCTTCCTGTATCCCAAAGTAAGATGGCTCCTGCCAAAGTTTAAGGAATTTCATAAAAATATTAGTCAATGTTAATATTATTGAATATCACAAATCTAACACTCATAGCTCATAGCAGTTACTCATTAAATGTAGGAGGAAGGATGGAAGGAAAAAGAGAGGGAGAGAGATGAGGGAAAGAGGAAAGAAGAAAGGAAAGAGAAAGACAGGAAGCAGGGAAGGAAGGGAGAGAGGGAGGGAGGGAGGAAGGAAGAAAGGGAGGGAGGGACGGAGGGGAAGAGGAAGGAAGGCAAGAAGGAAGGAAGGAAGGAAGCAAGGAAATTTTTATTTCTCACCTGTTGCTGCAACATTCCCCTTCCCTTGAATAAACCGCTGCCTCCCTGCACCCCTCTGCAGAGTGTTCATCCAGCCGTCATCTCCTGGGACCGTGGGAGAAAGTAAGAATGAGCTTTACATTCTGGCTTTCCAAGGCTGTGGCCTCCATTCTAAGGACTTACAGGATATTGAACCAACCACCCCCAAAAGGGAGCACTTTGTTCAATCACTGCAAGACCAAACAGCAAGTCTCTGAAGCCCACAGAAACATTTCTACACCCTGCACAGGGCTTACACCCTGCACTGGGCTTACACCCTGCACTGGGCTTACACCCTGCACTGGGCTTACACCCTGCACTGGGCTTGCAGTGATGACAGGCTCAGTGCATTCCTCCCGGGCTTCCTTGAAATTAAATCATGTGCAGCATATTTACATTCTGCCCCCAAATCTTACCACAGGCCAAAGAACCCTGATCTAGCCTGACTGGAATGAGCCCTCATTAATACCCTGCATCCTCACGGTGGCACAGGGTCCCGGGAATGTGTCCTTCAGTAGGCTGAGCTGCACATTGTCAAGACAGCCCAACAATCTCATGACAAATTAGTCCAAACAATTACCTAGCACTGTGTAAACAACACCAAGAAAAATATCTGGCAGCGTTTTTTTTCACTTGTTACCGGTCAACATGCCCTGTGGATCTTAGGTTTTATCTTCACGATGCAAAAAGGACCCAAGACTACAGTCAGCTGAGTCAAACAATTGTCCATGTTTGTATAGATGAAAAATAACCCTTGCCAGAACTTGTCACACTTCAAGTTGCTGTGGTGACCAGATACTGACACAAAGTTCTGCTTCGATCCAGAGACTGATACAAAGTACAGTATCAGTGCAGACACCAATACCAACACAGATACAGATACAAAGATGGACGTCTAGAGAGTCTTAAAGATTGGTCTTTTGTCCCAGCTGGAGTGAGTCCTGTCCCCACTGGTGGCATGAGTCCCACTCTGACGTGTCTGGGAGCAGGTTATTAGGAGCCAGGTCATCATGGGTCTTGTGTGTGCTTGTGGCTGAGGAGGGACCCTCAGCAGGACAGAAGGGGCCCTTGGAGCTGACCTTCCTCAGGCCAAAATAAACAGGCTCTCTGTGGTCATTATTTTAATTAGATAATTTAATCGGTCTTGACATGCTTTCTATACACAGACAAGAGCACGCCCAAACTGCTGCTGGGTCTGTGATATGGGAAAAGGTCTGAGTTTTCCAGTGACTCCTGGATATAAAAATAAAGAAAAGAGGAGGAAGAGCTGTATTAATTCTTTTCCCTTCATGCAGTATCACTGAATTTTTTCCAGAGGTCTAACGAAGAAAACAATCCTCCAAACCAATTTTTTCAAGGAAGTTATTCATTTTTCCTAATCTTCCTAAAACACCATGATTGCAGAAGACCCTTTGTCCCACAGACTCCCCTGCGTGGAGGTTGGTCTCCATGAACTAGTTCAGCCCCAGTCTACACTTTCTAGGGGGAGGGAGCAGGGAGAAGGGGAAAAGGGCTGAGAGAAGAGAGGGGAAGTGGGGAGGAGGGAGCACAAAGTCATGATGCTTTAGTGTTTAGAAAAACATAATTAATTAAAAGAAAACACACATTTAAACAAGTTTCTGCTTCTTTTCCAAAGCAACAAAATACTCCTTTAGGCAAAGGGATTAGAGAAACGCAGGGTCCGTGTTTAAATTCCAGGAAGACTTTGTTTCCGCTCGTCCAAAAGTTTCTTCTTTCCTGGAGGGTGAGCCCTAGATTTGGCTTCCCCAGAGGCAGTATCGGGACATTTTGTAGGCCTGGCTCCCTATCCCCCAGGCTGCTCCCAGACGTTCCCCAAAGGAGACATGCTGGTCACCCGCTTAACACTTCCTTCTTCCTCTGGAAGCACGAGCTCAATTTCTCTTTACCCAGGCAACAAGAGCCCTAGACTCACCTTTGCTTTCTTCCTGCTATAAACTCTGAAATCCCTGTCACAAAATAAAGTCACCCTACAAATCTGTATCGCTTATTCCCTCCTGATTCCTTCCTTCATGGCAGCTCCCAGCAAATGAACGGCATCGCCATGGAACAGGCTGTCCTCTTACAAAAAGGCCCCAGCAAACCAGAAGAGATTATGGAAAACCCCAAAGACACAGGTCTGGAAGAGAAACAAGCAAGTCTCCTGTCTTTCCATTCCTGATGAAGACCCACTGCCCTGCCCAGCTGCTGGCACGCAGCACACAGCCCTAACCAGGCTGATGACACCCACCCCATGGGGACAGTTCAATGCGGGGATTAAACTACAGACTATGACACTTGGCACTCAGTTTGCGGTGGGCTTTGTCCTGTGCTGGTCCTTGCTGTTACTATTGTAGGTTTCACATTCATGTTCTCTTCTCAATTAAGAAACATCCATGAAATCTCCTCCCATCTCATTTGCCTGCCGAAAGCCCACCCAAACAGAATTATAACAAAGAGGGTGCTGTTCCCCTGTAAGGCACTCTCTAGGATTTGGCTTGGAAAAGTAAATTCGATGTAGTGACATCTTCATCATTAAAACAAAACAAAACAAAAAATCTACTCTTTTCTTCTTTAATCACATTATACCAGGATTTTGAGGTTCCATCAACCCACTTGGAAATGAGGAAATGGGGACAATGTGGCCTCGTCCTTGCAAGCTGCTTTAACAGCGACAGCGAGGCTCCTACATGCAAGCGTCAGAAGCTCGCTGTCCACTGAACTCTGCTGCTTTCCCAAGAAGTTTAGTATCTCAAGGGAAACATCTGGGGGCGCGTCTGGGGGAGGTGAAGACGGCATCCAGAGAGCCCAGCCCCACACTTCAAAGCAGACTTCCCAACTCTGAAACGAACGAAGTTTCCTTCTTTCCCACATGTCTCTGCCATGCTAAATATAAATCCATCTCGGTTTACATTATGCTGCCTCTAATTGAATCTCATTCTTCGTTTGTTTAATTCAGAAACAATAAGCCATCCTGAGTGGCTCGCCGGGAAGTTTGCCACCGCAGCCAGCCTCGGTTCCCAGCAAGCCTCCTGAGGGGACCAAGGGATGAGGGGACATGGCTGGCCTGCCCACAAGGGCTCGCTGCACATCGCAGGGACACATCTGGGTTTAAAAGGTAAAGACACAAGGACGGTCCAACTGTAGGAAACCCATCCACATAATGCCCACACTAAGGAGTCAAAGAGAAAGCTTAATACCCAGTAGGTGCTGAAGAGGGCTGACGAGCATTAACCCTTCATTCTTCCTTGGCTGTAACCAAAGCGTCCTGAGTAAAACAGGAGCCCGTGGTACTTCCTCAGCATGACAAAATTCATCCCTCAGATCTAACGCCAACACTAACTTGCCATCCACGGTGGAATTTCAGAGACACTTCATGGAAGGTCAGAAGCAAGATAAAGCTGTTGCTATCACCCCTGTTATTTATTATACTGGAAAATATAAAAAAGGAAAGAAGGGGGGAGTATAGGAAAATTGTCATTATTTGTAGATGATATGATTACATACCAGGAAACCCAGGAGAATCCACTGAAAACAAATAGAATTTGGTAAGAATCTGGCTATAAATTCATATCTAAAAATGTCACCAACTCTCAGAAGTCTTAGTTTATAGTTCAGTATAGTTTCCTTTCATTCATTTGGCAAATACTAAGCACCTACTATGTGCCAGGTGGCATTTCTGGATGCTCCATATACAGCAGAGAAGAAAGACTGCAGACCAAGTGAGGGATTCAGAGACAGAGGAGGGACTGCTGATTTTGTAGGAGTAACAGAGAAGTCCTTTCTGAAGATCTGACCTTATATGAAGTCCTGGTGAAGCGGAGACATCAGGCAGATACAGAAGGACATCGGGGCTGCTAGGTGGGCTTGGGAAACAGCTTGGGGGAAGGACAGGGCATCATCCAGAGATGACGCCAGAGGTCACTGGGAATCCTTCAGGCTTGGGAGGCCACCAGGAAGGCCGAGGCTTTTACTCTTGAGAGGGTGTTCAGCAGAGGAAGCGTGATCTGATGTTCCTTCATCAAAACGGCGCAGGATACAGTGAGACACCGCCTCACAACATCAGGACAGCTACTATCAAAACAAAGAAAATGTCAAGTGTTGGTGAGGATTGCTTTTGTTGCGATTGCTTCTAGTGTCTTCATCATGAAACCTTTGCCTGAGGACAGGATTGTAAGCTGTCCTATGAATCACTCCAGTTTGTGAGCTTTTGGCTCCATGATTGCAATGTTTAACTGATCTGTAGACAGGAGCCAGGCTGTATCCTTAACGAAAGGTGGAAACTCAGGTAAGAGCCAATCCCTTCCAGGGCCACCACCTCTGAGGTCACTGCTGGTTCAGATCATTGCAACATCTTCCAACTCAAAGCCAAGCCCAGAGTTTCTGTGACTCTGGGTTTTCCATCTGATGTGGTTTTTGAAAATACAACTAATCCTTAAAGAGCATCTCTTGTTTCAAACCACAGCTCAAGGCTGTTTTCCAGGAAGGAGAACAAGCCCTGCTCTGAACTTCCTCCTCCCTCTTTCATCTTAATGACCAGTTAACTTAATTCACCACCCAACTGAGCCTTGGTGGAAGAACAGAGGAAATGGAAAGTCCTCAGAGAAAGACCTGCCTTGTAGAACTGTCCATGTCACCCTCCTTCCCTCCCCCTTGCAGAGGCCCCGAGTCACAAGCTGTAAGCTGTCTCGTCCTGACTGCATCCCAGCCCAGGCTCAGGCCTCGCTGCTCCCCTGCAAATGTTCTTGCCCATTCTAGCTCTGGACTTCTAAATTCTATGAAGGGAGGAGTAGCCGTTTCCAGTAAAAGGAGGAAATAAAAGCAATAGTGGCTGACGGGCAGGGAACAGCTAAGAATGATCACCCTGAATCTTCACATATCTCCGTCTTCAGATATTTGCTCTGAAAAGACATATTTCTCCCATAAAGTGGTTCCACGCCGTTTCTCACAGCACATGTGATGATTAATCAGACAATTCTCAACTTAAAGCCTTTGTGCACAGTCACAGGAAGTGACTTTTTCCAATGTTCTATTTGCATGCAGTGTAGTTCATAAAAGAGTGTAGGAAATGCCACCCCAAAATACACACAAGGGCACATTGAAATCACTCTTGGCAATTTCTTCAAACCAAGGCTACTTGGGGAATAGCAGATGCAGGAAGGGGCTTTCTCCAAGCTCCTTGTTTCTACCCAAAGACAGATCTTCCAAAGGAACTCAGATGTCATGAATCCCTCCCCAGGAACCTCATCCACCAGGCAAGAGGGAACTCAAAGCACAGCAGAGCAAACTGGAGGTTCATGCCACCCAGACAGACTTTGCCACAGACAAAGGGTTAAAGTCATTTACCCTCCCCTAAGTTGTCTCCCTTCCCCTTCCCTGCCCCCTATGAAGAGCATATATAAGCTTCTAGATCTCACTACAGGGAAAGTTTTCCCTCCCCTCCACTTACAAATGCAAAGCATTGTCAGAGTTCTCAGCAGCCTAGTTGAAGCCACACCCAATCCTGCTGCACCAGCCAGCCTGAGCATCCTGCAGTCTCTTCATCAAGTGCCATGAGAGTTGAGCGAGCCCGAGAAGGTGGCAGGAAGTGTGGGGCTTAGGTGCCACCCAGAACTCAGAGACCTCCACCCACACAGCCCACCAACGCTGTCATCCACAATGAGTGCTGTATGATGGTGTGGCTACCATGTACTAAGCAACTGAAACATGCCCTGCATTGCATGAGGCCCTTCACAGTAGCGCATTTTACCCTCACAACAACTCTATGATGTAGATCCTTCTGCTTTTCAGATAATCTCCAAATGCTCCACATAGGATGCTGGTTGTGACACTATGGCATGGCAGGCATCCCACCTGGATCCCTGAATTGTGTCACTCCTGAGACCTAGGTATCTCTGGCCCCAGACAACAGGCTGATGGAGTGGGTCTATCTAAGCCTAAGTAGCACAGGAAACAAGAGAAAACTCATCCTGAAGAACAAAAGAACCAACATAAATATCTATGGCTAAAAGAAATGGGTCAGACTCACGATGGAAAATGACTGTGTGCACTGAGGACACTGCCAAGGGCCTTCCAGGCTTGCCGGCCCCGGCTGAGGCCCTGCTGATGCACACCTGGGGGAGGAAACAAACAACTGCAGAACTGCTTTCCTAAGACGCCCTCGGACCGTAAACATGGCCACCTGCGTCAGTGGACTGGGTCTGCGGGGCAGCATGCTGACGGTTCCCTGATAGCCACAGATGGGGCATGACAGCGAGGCCAACACATCCACGGCCCTGAGCGGCAGGCGCTGTTAGGCATCGATGGCCTGTCCCAGAGCAGGATGATGTGGAAGAGAAGAGGCTCAGAATTCATTCAAAATCTTTGAGGCCAAGGGCCTGGGCCATCTCTCTGAGATGTCCAGATGCTTTCCTGAGCATTTTCTTTCACTTGCCTCATTTCACTGAGCCAGGACGGCTAGACACTGGGCTGCAGCAGACGAAGGACACCAGACTCAAAGGCGTTCGGTGTCACCTGCCTCCCAGAGACAGGGTCTTAAGGTTCGCTCTGTTCACCTGAGGGGTCCTTCCATGGCCCTTGCGGGCAAGGTCCCCAATACCTTGATTTTTTTTCTACTTACATTTTACTGTCACTCCCAGCAAAACTCAGTCCAGCTCAGTTCTCCAGGCTGCACACGTGGCCACGGTGGCCCCCAAGCTTCTCTGAGGCTCAACAGTAGCATTTCTCTGTTAGGCTTAGCCAACTAGGTATTTAGTTTGACCAAAATAACTCACTCATTTCTTTTCGTAGTAGCTTTAGGGGTACAAATAGTTTTGGGTTACATGGATTAATTGTGTACTGGTGAGGTCTGCACTTATCACCTGAGTAATATATATTGTACCCGGTATGTAGTTTTTCAGCCCTCACCCCACTCTCTTCTCCCCAATTCTGAGTCACCAGCGTCCATTGTACCATTCTGTTTGTCTGTATGTTTGCATAGCTTAGCTCCCACTTGTAAGTGAGAACATGTAGCATTTGGTTTTCCATTCCTGAGCTACTTCACTTAGAATAACGGCCTCTGGTTCCATCCATGTTGCTGCAAAAGGCATTATTCCATTCTTTTTTACTGCACATCTCTTTAGACAATGCCTTCCAAATTTCTCTTCAACATACAGCTTTGTTTTTCTTATGATTACAAAGATAACACATTCAAACAACACAGAAAAGAAGAAAAAGGAAAGTCAAGATCACCCGAAATCCCATTCGCTCATCATGAACTGTACAAATTGTGCGATACCACAGCAGTATTTCTGGTGTCTGCCACACTGATGGGCCCGAGGGGGCAGGTGGGATTTTGCCCCGGCTCTGCCAGCTCATCTCTGTGGAGCAAACACATACGGGCCGCGTGTCCATGGGATGGGGACCAGGCAGCCGCGAGGAGCCATGGGGACCTCACTGCGCTGGCTGTGCTGCTGTCTATGCTTTGACTTAGAATTGAGGCTTGTGCCTGCAAACCTTCTTTGGGCACATAGAATAAATAAGTAGCAAAGGGAAGCTATTATTGTTGTGTGACCCTGACCGGCCTAATTCCCGGAGCCTGCTTCCTCCCCTGTGTCATTTCCCGTCCTCCCCGCATATCTACCTCTGCCCAGTCAAGACTGACCTTTGACAGTGATCACTCAGCTCCTGACAAACTTTCACTGAGACAGAATTGGCTTAATATCTCCTAAACCAAAAAGATTCTGCAGGAACAACAGGGTGTCAGCACTAAGCAGTGCGGTCCAGGCGGGGAAGTTCTGGGACTTGAATCCCAGGGCAAGCAGACCTGGCAGGAAATCACCCCTGACGAGGACCAGTGCGCCCAGGCTCAGGATCCCAGTCAGCAGAGCGATGAGGTCCCAGGAGCAGTTAAATGAAGCAAGGCTTTAGTGTGGCCTGTGAATTCTGTGTACTCTCCTAGACAGTGTGCTTTTACACACATGACTTCAGCCACAATTCCCACAGAGCCGGCGCCAGATGAATGGAAGTCAGGGCGGGTGGGGGGGGGAGGCTAGCGGAAGGGAGGGGCATCCTGATGCTTGGAAGGAGGTAGAGTCACCGCTGGTGATGTGGGGAGAGGCCTGGCCCTGCCGCCACCTCTGTGTGCTGTGGCCCTCCTGGAGTGAACGGGAAGATTAAAAGGCACACAGTCCTGGAGGAGACCTACACAGGACACAGCCAGCTGCCATCTTCTGGAAAGGGGTCACTTCTCGGGGGGGGAGCCTTGCTGCTCCTAGAATTTGGTGGACTCGGAGTCGCAGATTAGTGCAGGGGAGGGCTACCAGGCGTGCGAGGGGGCGGTGAGTGTGGAGTCTCGGGGCACTGCGTTTCCTGAGAAAGGCAGGAAAACCTGGGAAATGCTGACTCCTCCTCTCACCTTCCATATCAGTTCCTTGTGAGATGCTGTCAGTTCCCCATCCTAGTATAATGTGAATCCCTTTCTACAGCCATTGTCTCTGCCCAGGCCACCATCCCCTCTCACCTGGTGAAAGCACAGCCTCCTCCCTGGCCTCTGGCCTCCAGCCTTGTCGCTCTCCCATCCATTCTCCCTACTGCAGCCACAATCATTTCATTCATTCATTCATTCATTCATTCATTCATCTGATGCCATCTACCCTTTGAAATGCCACCAAAGTGGCTTCCCTTTGCTCTCAGGGGGACATGCAGACCCTGCAGCTTGTCCTACAAAGCCCTCGCCACCCCTCCCCTACCTGCCCCTCCATGTCCACCCTCACCCTGTCCTGACTCACCTGCAATGCTCCTGCCCTGCAGCATGGCCCCAGCTGCTCCTGGCAGGCGTCCGTCCCCCACCTCTAGCCCTCACACCCGCTCCTCCTGGCAGGCGTCCGTCCCTCACCTCTAGCCCTCACACCCGCTGCTCCTGGCAGGCGTCCGTCCCTCACCTCTAGCCCTCACACCCGCTCCTCCTGGCAGGCGTCCGTCCCTCACCTCTAGCCCTCACACCCGCTGCTCCTGGCAGGCGTCCGTCCCCACCTCTAGCCCTCACACCCGCTCCTCCTGGCAGGCGTCCGTCCTCACTCTAGCCCTCACACCCGCTGCTCCTGGCGGACGTCCGTCCCTCACCTCTAGCCCTCACACCCGCTGCTCCTGGCGGACGTCCGTCCCTCACCTCTAGCCCTCACACCCAGCTCCTCCTGGCGGACGTCCGTCCCTCACCTCTAGCCCTCACACCCGCTCCTCCTGGCAGGCGTCCGTCCCTCACCTCTAGCCCTCACACCCGCTGCTCCTGGCAGGCGTCCGTCCCTCACCTCTAGCCCTCACACCCGCTCCTCCTGGCAGACGTCCGTCCCTCACCTCTAGCCCTCACACCGCTCCTCCTGGCAGGCGTCCGTCCCTCACCTCTAGCCCTCACACCGCTGCTCCTGGCAGGCGTCCGTCCCTCACCTCTAGCCCTCACACCCGCTGCTCCTGGCAGACGTCCGTCCCTCACCTCTAGCCTCACACCCGCCTCCTCACCTCTAGCCTCCACCCGCCCTCCCGGCGTCCGTCCCTCACCTCTAGCCCTCACACCCGCTCCTCCTGGCAGACGTCCGTCCCTCACCTCTAGCCCTCACACCCGCTGCTCCTGGCAGACGTCCGTCCCTCACCTCTAGCCCTCACACCCGCTGCTCCTGGCAGGCGTCCGTCCCTCACCTCTAGCCCTCACACCCGCTGCTCCTGTTCCCTTCTCCTAGACCACCTGTGACGGCTAATACCTAGTGTCAACTTGATTGGATTGAAGGAGGCAAAGTGTTGATGCTGGATGTGCCTTTGAGGGTGATGCCAAACGAGATTAACATTTGAGTCAGTGGCCTGGAAAAGGCAGATCCACCCTCAATCTGGGTGGGCACCACCTAATCAGCTGCCTGTGCAGCCAGGATATAAAGCTGGCAGAAAAATGTGCAAAGGCCAGACTGGCTTAGCCTTCCAGCCTACGTCTTTCTCCCTGCTGGATTCTTCCTCCCCTCAAACCTCAAACATCAGACTCCGAGTTCCGTTTTGGGACTCGGACTGGCTTCTTTGCTCCTCAGCTTGCAGATGGCCCATTGTGGACCTTGTGACTATGGGAGTCAATACTACTTGCTAAACTCCCATATATATATGTGTGTGTGTGTGTGTATACGTGTGTGTGTGTGTGTGTGTGTATCCTATTAGTTCTGTCCCTCTAGAGAACTCTGACTAATACACCATTTTTCTTGCTTTTCACCTTGCCTATTCTTGAAGGAGCTGAAAAGTCACTGACTGTTGCATTCCTTCCTGATCCCACCAGATTGGGTTATTTCACCAAAGGGAGAGGTTCTCCTCCCTGGCTGCAAAGGAAGGTCTCCTGGAGAGTTTCAGTACCAATGCCCAGGCCCCATTCTCACCCAGAACAATTAAATCAGACTCCCTGGGGTGCTGGGGGTGGGTAGGCTGACCAGACCAGATGAGTCTAACAGAGAGCCACGTTTGAAAACTACTGACCACGGGGTCAGTTACACTATGCTCTGCTCCCCAAGCATCCATCCTGTACTTCCCATATCAGGGCACTTGTTGTGAAATGACAGTGACTGGCATTGTCAGCACATCGTTAACATCATAGTCATCATTGCTATCATGGTCATCCTTGCATGCTATTCTGTTTTGTTTTTTTGAGACAGGATCTAGCCCTGTCACCCAGGCTGGAGTGCAGAAGTGTGCTCATAGCTCACTGAAGCCTCAAGTTCCTGGACTCATGCGCTCCCACCTCAGCCTCCTGAGTAGCTGGGACTACAGGGGCACACCACTATGCCTGGTTAACTTTTTTTATTTTTATATTTTGTAGAAATGGGGTTTTGCTATTACCCAGGTTGGTCTCGAACTCCTGGCTTCAAGCAATCCTCCCACCTCAGCCTCCCAAAGCGCTGGGATTACAAGCATGAGCCACTGTACCTGGCCCCTTGCACGTTATTCTCATATCCACATGTCTCTATTTCCATATTTAAATTTTGGAGACAAAACCTCTCTTCTCTGTCTAGCTCCTTTCCAAAGGGTGGTTAATTTATAAAGGGATAACACCTGTTTGCTGCTTGGCCACTTAAGACACCAGGTGCTACATCTCCAGTCCCTTCTGTTGTTTTGACTCAGGAAACCAAGCCAACTAGTGAGGCTACATGTTGGAATTGAGCTTGCTGGAGGCTTTTAAATTCCAGTTGCAGGTGCCAAAGCATATCTGCACAGAAAGGCTCTCTTAGCCGTGGTTTGGACAAAGAACTGTTCTCGTCATTGTTTATTATGAAGAGCTTGCAGAGATTCTTGTGGATTACTCAACAGTGCCTATGAATCTGACCTCTGTTGATGGCTGGGTGAAACTAGTGTCCTTGTTTTTAGAGCACAGCTAATAACACGAGCTAGAATCACTCAGGGCCAGTTAATCAGAAGGAAGAGGCGATAACAGCATCTTTATGATATACAGTGATGTGATAAGATGCAGACGTAATGAGAACTCTTTTCTTCTGGAGAAGATTAAAGACATAAAATCCTGGCTTGGGAAAAAAAGACTCTTTGTCCTGCCGGAAAAAAGTGACCAGATGTCTTGATTTAGACAGAAAAGGGCCTGATGTTTTAGGACCGATCCCCCATCTGTGAGGCTTTTTTTTTTTCTTTTGCTTATTTTCCTGTTTCCTGGGTTTATGAGGCACCACCAAAAATCTGAACTTTCCTTGGGGCTGCCTTCCTCCCCTGGAAAGCAGTGGGCCCACACAGAGACAGGAGCAATGGGGCTCAGGGCACACTGGACCTTCCCAAGTGTGAAGAGGTGGCCCGGGGAATGTGCACTGAGAGGCTTCCTCAGCCCCCATCAGATCACAGGGGTAGCACTGGCTGCTTGCTGAGAGCAAGTGGGACCTAGACCTAGCCACCGGGTGAGGACCATGGAAACACTTCTGATTTTCCTTCCACGAGTACCCACCAAGGGGACACCACGAACCATGGCATAGAGATCAGAAGAAAACTCCAAAGCTTTGGGACAGCTATCCAGGCAGGAATATGGGCGTTTGTACGTTTCCCACTGCTACACAGGAAAGCGTGGCGTTGGATGTCTTTTCTCTTCTAAATTGAGTGGCCTCTGTGGGAGTGGGGTGAAGCTTATTAGCCAGAGTTGGACGAATGTGAATCTGCCTCTAACTAACCAGCCATGTGGCCTGGAGCAAAGTAATGTCCCTTCTTCAGGCCTCTTCCTTCACCTGTGAACTTAGAGGGCTGGCTGGAAGACTGGCCCTAAAGTCCTGACAACCAGGACTACAACCACTGTGGTTGACACTGGCTCTCATGATTGCGCACAGAGCCTGGCACATAGCAGGACTGCACTCAAAATCGTGGAATGAAATCCTGAATGCCTCCAGGAATGAAAGCGCCTCTGAAGGTCCCATTTGGCCCTCAGTTTTGTGATCCTTACCAGATTTTTTTTTTAATCATTCAGCCTGCAAAATTTTCACTGAGCCCAGCCCTCAGTGACTTTGCTCACTGAGCAATGAATCCACGAGATCTGCCTAAAAGCTAAAACCTCTGTGGGAATTCCCATAGGAAACCAAGAAAAAGTAAGGCAAAGGGAGAGATTAATCATGTTGAACAGCCTCTAATTTCTAGGCTCCAGGTAGCCGTGGGATGCTCTACATTTGAAAATATGATCTGAAACTCACTATTGCCAATTATCAGCTTTTTGCCTTTAGACAAGTTGCTTGAAACCTCTGAGATTCTACTTAAACCCATCTGTAAGGTTGGATAATAATTGCATTGATCACACACACACCTACACACACACACACACACACACACACAGTTGTTTTGATGATTAAATGGGAAATATTTGTGAAAACATTTTACAGCAAAAAGTGCAATCATATGCCAGGCTTTGCTATTGTATAAGCCTGTGTTATCGCTAGGACCAGTGTAAGTGGAGGGATGCTAAAGGCACTGACTGGTGCCACTTTAAAATCCAGCAAGACAGGCATGTTCAGAGCATGCCACTCAGTGCTGCCACTTTGGTGTTTTGAACATCAAACAAATCTTCTGGAATAACATTTTGATGTTTTTAGTATACACAAGTGAAGAACATGTGGATTCACTTTCACTGCATATATACACCGGGACTGCAGAGGAACGTCCTGGGGAAGGAGTGTGAGATTTGGTAGAACCCCAAGGTTTTCAAAACAAATCCAATAATTCAAGGAAAAGGAAAACTAATATTTAACGAGTGCATGATATTGGCCAGACGCTTTATACATATTATCTTATCTAATCATCACAATAACCCCATGAGACATGGACAGCGTTTATAGACAAAGCAACTGAAGTTCACGGAGGTGGAGTTTTTGCACATAGTCACAGGGAGGGCCAAAGCTAGGACTTGAACCCAAGTCTCACAGAAGCTAACGCCTCTGAATTCTCCTGTGCTCAGCACTGAATGGGGTTCCTGACTCTTGGGGTGTAAAAATGTTACCTTCCCTTGGAAAACATGAACTCTCCCCCTGTGCTTCCTGGATCTTAAAAGATCTGGACATTGATATGTTTTCTTAGTCTCTGCTGGGAATGATCCATAAAATGGCCTCACTTTGAGAATCAATGCCAATGACCACCGCATTAATACTGAGACAGAAATGCATTTCCAAGTGCATTTGCTTGCTTATTTAGTAAATATTTATGTGTCTTGGACACTTGGCCACATCTCAGCCACATCATGAAATGCCATATTTGGGAGCTTTATATTGGAGCAGAAGATCTTTGATAAACACTGTGGAAATCATCGTGTAATTCACTAGGACTTCCCGGCTTTGCTGGAAGCATCTGGTGAATTCTCCCACCGCATTCCCAAGAGGGCACTAGCTCACTGCCTTCCCACAGGAGAGAGATAGAGCACTCAGTCTCTTCTCCAGCCTTCCAGAGTCTTTCAAGCAAAATAGACCCCACTCACCTGTCAAGGAAGCTTGACGAGGCCCTCGGTGGGGAAGGGCCTGGCAGAGCCTTCCATCAGGCCTAATGATGTGCTGGCCAGCACACAGGGAATGAGAGGCACCAAAGGGAATGGCCTCCTGCTCTCTGATGATCCCAGGTCATCACGACACCACAGGTCCACAGCCAGAGCTGGATGCACAATCTGTGTACAGGGCATTGGGGAGGATGAAAGTGAATGGACACTCCAGGTGACTGTGTCCATCCATCCCCGATGGGCTTTTCCACCACCCTCTACAGACAAAGACAAGCATAGGCTTGTTGGTGGACACAGCTTCAGTTGATGGTGCATGCCAGGACCACAGTGCACAGTGCTTGATTGACCCTCTTACGCCATCGTATCCTCTCTGCTGTCTGACACACACAAGTCTCAGAGATGCTTGATTACAAGAACTCACTATTAATCAGGCCAAAGATGGATTTCTGATCTCATAAGTGAAAAAAACCTCAAAGGGGAAAGTTTTCTAAAGTTGACATTTCACTGTTTTGCTTTGCAGAAAACACATTTATATGTAATAGCATTTCACAGCTTATAAGGTACTTTTATTTTTATTAGCCTCATGTACCATTATCACAACTCCTAAGGTAGTAGTTATCGTTATTCTCACTTGAAAGGTGTGAAAACTGGCTCTAAGACAGGTTAAGATATTTGCCAGTGGTTGTCCACTTTGGTGCTAAGGTTGAAACTTAAACACAAATCTTTTGGCCAAAAAGTCTGCAATTTTTCTACACCACCTCTAGATCTCTTTTGACATTTTGCTCATCCTATAGCCATTGGCTTCTTGTAGATAGGAATTACATCCTTTCTACTTGTTACATAGCCCAATATTAACGTAAAACACAAAACACAATATTTTCATACTGAGCTTGTAGTGAAGACTTTAACAAAATAATTGAGTAGATGAAATTAAATACTATTAAGGACCATCATGTTATTTCTGTTATTACCCTCCCATAATCTGCCTATGTCACTGTAATCATCATGAGAACATGTTTTCTTTGTTTCCATATTATGAGTGTACATGTGTTATTTTTATTGGCCACATAATACTTTATTATATTCATGAACCATAACTTCAACCCATTTCTCCATTTGGTCCTTTCAAGTTATTTTTCCATTTTTCCCTTAAAATCAAGTTGTAATGTATCTGATTTAGGAAGCCCAAAGCTCAGGAAGTTCACCCCTGGGTATTACCTGTTGTGCCTCTTCTGACATGCCCAGTTGGCCAGACAGGTGGAATTCCGGTGTGAACCTGAGCTACTTGTTAAAAATTAAAACTTCTGAAGCTCGGGTCAACTGAATCAGAACCCCTCTGGGAGTCGGAGTCAGGAATCTCCATTTTAACAGGCTTTGCAGTAACTTCACACAACCCTAAGGTTTGAAAACCACTAGTTATTTAGGTGAACTTAAATAGAGCTGGCTTCTGCAGCCAATTTCATGCCTTTAATTTGACCACCTGCATCTAGTTTGTGTCTCTAAAGGCTCCACACCATTACATAGCACCTCTCATATTCTTGTCCTAAGAACACAAGGACAGGGCTGGAGGGCTCTGAGTCCTCAAGGAGTCGAGGGTCAGGCTTCATCTCAGCCAGAAGAGGAGGCTGTCTTTCAGTCCTTCACACCCGATTCAGTAACTGGCTGGTGGGGGAAGGCTTCTGTGTGAAAATATCCTCGGCAATTTCTCCAGCAATTAATTACCCAACTGCTGCATAAACTCTAGTCTCAACACTCAAGACTACCCAACAGAAAGCATCAGGCACACTTGCTACATCAGCCTGCCATCGTGTGTGTGCGCGCGCGGGTGTCTGTGCATGCGTGTGTTACTAAATAACACACACAAAAAAGAGTGTGTGCGATTTTCTCAAAATGACCCCCAGAAGAACCCTACAGAATGTATTTTCCAAAATATCTATTCAACTTGAACTTGGAGAATACTCCTTTTCACAAAAGTCGTGCCCGAAGTGCCTTTTGGCATTCACAGGTGCTGTGGACAGGCGCTGCGGTGTGGATGCGGAATATGTTCAGGAGCTTTGGGCTTCATTGGTACAGATGGGAACAGCTCTACATGCCCACGGCTGGGCTTACTGCTTTGTACCGATAAAGTTCCCAACCCTTGCTTGATGCGTGGAGAGGCAGCCTCCACGAGCTAGGCTCTCTTCATGGTGATTTCTCTCATGGCCAGCTTGATGCCTGTGGCCGCAGTATCAGAACATTATAAAGAAAAGCCTTCAGGTTTTGGAGTCAAATATCCTGGGATCTGAATCACAGCTCAGCAGCTTACTAGCTGTGTGGTCTTGCATGACTCAGTCAACTGACCTCATCCTCAATTTCGCATCCATAAAAGGGGAAACATTGTAGGTTGGTGTAGGGATTGAAAATACGAAGAAATGCCTGAAGCCATCCTAGAACCCTCTTAGAAGTGATTAAAAATAAGTATTTTAATGGTCTAATGATCCCATTCAATTCTGCCAATATTTACTGAAGGCTTGTCATCTAACAGGCGTTGTTTCAAGCACTTGGGACAGATGGATCCCCACCCCGTACGTAACCACCTCATGGCTTTAGAGTGGTTCTGGGACCTTTGGTAAACCAGGACAGGGCAGTAGGTTTTTGTCACCATTTTCCATTTGTGTCTGCTGCAAGCCCAATGGAGGTAGAAACCTCAAAGTGCTGACAGCTGTCTCCAAGGATTGCCTCAAGGACATTGCTATTGTTTAGTAGTATTCGTGGCACATCCTCCAACTGGCAAAGTACTCAAGAGATGTGCTGGGGCTGGAAGCCTGGGGGGCTGGCCTCTAGCCTTGGGTTTCCATTAACACACTGTGGGATCTGGGATCCTCTGCTTCATTTTCCCTGCCAATAAGTTGAGACCAGTGTCATTGCTGAAGGAGTCCCAATAAATGAGCCTCTCTCTTCTCCATGAATAAATTGGGAATTAGAGTAAGAAGTGAGAGACGAGAACCCAAACATCAGCTCATTACTGATGAGCGTGAGAGGCAGTGAGGGCTGAGCTGGACAGCAGACAGGCCCCCATGGACCCCACAGCCAGTCACTCCTGCCTAGGGAGGCAGCGTAGAGTCGGGGAGAGAGGTGGGGGTTGGGGGGTTGGAGAGAACTCCGAGCTGCATGCGGCTCCTGCAGAAGAGTGGATCTCACTGAGCATGCTCAGCCACTCCCCGAAATGCATCCATCCAGCCATTCTCTCCAGCTCCTCCAGAGAGGAAAGGGGTGGTAACATGAGGCCAAGTGAGTGCCGAAAGAAAATCTTCGAAAACAGGAAGAGCCAATGCTCTTGCCTCTCTAAAATCTAATCAGATGCTGTACTATTCAGCTGATGGATCAAGTCACCAAGAGGCAAAACAGTCAAGAAGTTCCATGATCTGAACTGCTGCTTTGTAATAACAGCCAGGGAACCAGGACACGTCCCTGGAACACCCGGAGGCCTGATTCTGCCGGAATTCTGAAGATACAGAGAGAAACTGGTTGATGCTTTGAATCCCTTATGTGAAGTCCAAATGAGCCCTAGAAAACCTTTTCTCAACTTGCTACTTGCAACCCATTCGTGGGTTGTGAAATTATAATCAACTTTTTACAAATTAAATATAATTGTCTATATTGGAGTACTTGGCTGTACAGGCATTGTTCCATGAAACGTCGGGCTCAGTATTATTTACATGGGGATTGGGGTGTGATGGGGGTCATGATGCTACATGTACCTCTTACTGGAAATCACAATTAAAAGGCGCTGCCCTTGCAGCAGTAACAGGTTTTTAATTGACTACAGTGCGAAGGAGAAGTCTGCCTTTGGTGTGAAGGGCACATGCTGAAGTTGGCTGGCTCAGCACCGGTGTGTTCCAACCTCCTCCGCCCGGCCTCCTGTCCCACAGAGATGGGAAGCTGAGCACTGCCTTTCCCACTCACCTCTGCTGCCATGCAGGTGAAATGTGCAAAACTAAAAAAGTTAAGATGCTGATGTGAGGAGCAACAGGCCGCAGCCGTGGGTGGGGATCCGGGCTTCCAGCCAGCGCATGCTGGAGACCCTGTCCTCTGCGAGGCCGCTTCTGGCGTCCAGTCCTGAGCCTCAGGGACCTCGTGGGGATGGCAGTGGCAGTAGTGTCCTGAGGATGTCTGTCCCTTGCTGTAGCTAAGCTCAGTTCCTGGCTGTGTTTCGCCTGTTCTTCCGGGCCCTGTCGCCTCCAGGCCTGGTTCCTGCCCCACTGGAGAGTAAGTGCGGCACACGGCGGCCTTTCATAAAGCTGCTCGCGTTCTGTCCGTCTGCCTCTGCGTCCCACGCTGCGTCCTGCCAGGCCTAGCCCTCACATCCAGGGCCCCGTTTTCCTCTTTGCCATAGGGTCCCTTTAGTGGCAGGCAGCCCCCTGGTGTCGCAGGGTTTTTCCCTGCAGCCCCTCAGCTACTTCAGGATCTGCTGCTTCTCTCTCCTGTTTTATCCAAATCAGTTGGTCCTGTGGCTCCACCATTCAGGACCCTATTTCAGCAATAGCTACCCTAGTGAACTGCTAACATTATCCTAAGTGAAATGGCTCAGAAAAACTGAAAGCCAAGAACTGCATGTTCTCACTTGTAAGTGGAAGCTAAACAACGGGTGCTCACGGACATAAAGAGGAATAATAGACATTGAGGGCAGGAGGGGTTAGGGATGAAATATTAGCTACCGGGTACAATGAACACTAAGTGGATGGTGAGTTCACTAAAAGCCTAGACTATACCACTACACACTATATCCTTTGTTTCTTCCCAAGACAAAGTCTCGCTCTGTCACCAGGCTGGACTGCAGTGGCACAATCTCGGCTCACAGCAACCTCAGCCTCCCAGGTTCAAATGATTCTCCTGCCTCAGCCTCCCCAGTACCTGGGTTACAGGTGCCCACCACCACACATGGCTAATTTTTTGTATTTTTAGTAGAGGCAGGGTTTCACCATGTTGGCTGGGCTGGTCTTGAACTCCTGACTTCAGGAGATCCACCCACCTTGGCCTCCCAAAGTGCTGGGATTTCAGGCATGAGCCACCACACCTGGCCCAGTATATCCATTTAACACAGCTGCACTTGTATCCCTAAATCCGTAACAATAAAAATAAAAATTTTAAAAGCAGAGGGTAAGCTAAAGTTTGTATAAAAAAAGACG